GCCCTGGAAGGAGCTGAGACAGTGATGAGTGATCAGAGGTCTCAGGGGGTGCCTGACAGAGAGTGAATGCCACCACTTCTGAGGCCCCAAGGCCCGGAACAGGGGGAAGGTCCAAGGCCATGGCTGTGGGGGAGTTGGGGGGAGGGGGGGCAGTAGGCAGCCCAGCCGGTGCTGGGGACACAGGAGGCCCTGGGAGGCAAGGCGGCCAAAGTACTTGCCCAAGAGCCCTGAACAGCAGGCAGTGGTGGGGAGAGCTCAGGACAATGAGGACCCAAGGTATGCGAGCGGAGCCATCTTGCATGTTGCAGACCCAGTGACGCTCCAAGACAAACAGAACTTTCTGGCCAATCCACAGAAACACAAGGCATGATACATTATTTTTGTTTTAAGTCACCAAGTTTCTGGGTAGTCTCTTATATACCAAGACTTAAAGGGAACAGACCTTAGAGGTGAACTATGATCAGTTTCATGGAATATTCCCCTCTGGGGAGGAGCCTGAGAGGAAAGCAGGGACTCTCCACATGTCAGCTCTATGATGAAGGCTCCTACACGGGCCCCAGAACCTGGTGACTCTCCAAGTTCAACATTCAACAGACCATTCTCTGCTCTGCTCCAAGTCAAGGAACCTAACCCCACCCACACCGTCACTTGCTCCCTTGCTGGATGGTTCCTCCTGTGTGTGCCTAATGCAGCGGTTCTCAACCTGTGGGTTGCGACCCCTTTGGCGGTCAAACAACCCTTTAACAGGGGTCGCCTAAGACCATCCTGCATATCAGATATTTACATGACGATTCGTCACAGTAGCAACATGACAGTGATGAAGTAGCAACAAAAATAATGTTATGGTTGGGTCACAACATGAGGAACTGTATTTAAAGGGCCAGAAGGTTGAGAACCGCTGCTCTAGAGGGTTGCCTGGGGCTTGGGTGTGCCCCCTGGGAGGCAAGCGCTGTGGGGAGGTTGGCAGGGGTGTGGCTCAGGCAGGGAAGGCTGAGGGCCCTGCTTGGGGCTGGGACGGGTCCCCTGCAGGAGTGGGGGCTGGGGGCCGGTGTGTGGTTCCCAGGCCCAGGCCCAGCTTGAGGGCTGCTCTGTCTCTGAATAGTGTGGCTTTACCGCTCTGAGGGGCCAGAGCCTGCACCCCCCTAGCAACGCTCCCTGGACCCTGGTCAGCCCAGGGGAGGGGCCGGAGGTTGGGGTCTCAGTGCTTTCTCGCTGCAGACCCCCTGGGGGCAGACTTGCTCCCCCAACAGCTGAGCAGGTCGGGGCATGCAGGGAGCTTGGAGGGCCCTGTGTCTACAAGTGTCTGCTGGCTCAGGGACGGGCCCAGCCAGTATGGCTTTTGTGAGGGACGGACAGCAGACGAGTGTGGGGCGCCTGGGCTGGTCTTGCAGAGCTGCCCTGCTCCCGGGTCCAAAGCTAACGCGCCGACGGAGGACGTTGGGGAAGGGCTCCGAGGTCTGCCTGGCCATCAGCGGGCCCTGCCTGCCTCCAGCTGCTGATGGGTCCCCTCGGCCAGCGTTGCTCTAGGGCAGGACCTGGCTTTCTCAGCCCTTGGGTCTAACGACCAGGATTCATGCTGGAGCCTCTGTGGGTTCCGTGCAGCAGGTGAGCTGGGCCCTGAGATCAGACACCTCGGAGGAGCTGGAGGACTGAGAGCAGGAAGGCCCAGGCCTCCAAGACAGGCGGGAGCTTCGTGCAGGGGCGCTGCGAACAGGGCCGCATTGTAATCGGAGAGGGGCCGGGGAAGAGCGAGCGGAGCGAGGGCGGCTGACCCCGCGCTCCCGGGGGACAGGTGGAGAGGGAACGAGGAGCGAGTGAAGGATTCCAGAGGTGGGCCGGCTTCCTCCCTCGCAGACAGACGGGCGGTGGCAGCCGGCCAGCGTACCTGCAGTTCCAATCTGCGGTCCTGACAGCTGCAGCCACTTTGGGGAGGGGGAGGGGTGGGCTCATCGGGCGGAACCGTCGCCGCCGCCTCAAGCAGCCACTG